CTTTCCGTGCTGCTACCATTTAGTAGGGCGGAAAAGTGTTCCCTCCATAATTTAATTACGCTCTGGACATCAGTTACTAGGTCGCCATTATTGTTCTTACAGGAGTGCGCCCCGGTCTTTAAACCTTCCGTAAGTCGCCTAACACTCTGTGGTAAAATTTTCGGGCATTCCTCCTGTCGTCCAGCATTTCAAGCTCTTCGCACTCACGTATTTCGGCCTCTCTCTTCTAAACCTGTCCATGAACAATATCCCAGATGTATGTACCTTTCTTCTTTGGTCTATTCTGGAATGAATATATAAATCTGGATCGTTCCAGTTACGTAGACCCGACTGTCGGGTTAAAGATTCTTGTTTTTACCTTTTAATCAGTTTTCTTTGCAGCTCAAATATTTAGTTTGTAGTTTACCTTTTCTCCGCATAAGCAACTAAGAGGTCCTGGGCAATAGCAATTTTCAACTTATGGATCAATTCTTACCCATTGGCCATCGTTGTGTCGTTAATCTACTACATTTTTGTTTGTCCATTTTGGCTTTTCACTGTTGGGGAAGCTTAAGTTTGCATATGTCAAATGGGTTTAATACAGCCGACTACAGTGCCTTCTCGATAATCGACTACATAAATACATGCATACATATGTATGTACATTGGGGTGATCCAAAAAAAAGTTCAAAATGTTAAGCTCTCCCTCCTAGGATTTTTCTAAATGGAAAAGAGAATACCTGCATTTGTTGTTAAAAAAATATACATATACTATATATTTAAAACTGGCNACATATGTATGTACATTGGGGTGATCCAAAAAAAAGTTCAAAATGTTAAGCTCTCCCCCCTAGGATTTTTCTAAATGGAAAAGAGAATACCTGCATTTGTTGTTAAAAAAATATACATATACTATATATTTAAAACTGGCTCAAAGCATATGAAGTTTTCCATGTAATTTATGTATATAGGGAAAAACAACTTTTTCGTAGAAATGGTATAGAATTATTGAAAATCAACATTTTTCCATCGGAGAACTCTGTTTCTCTTCATGAGACTTCCGATAATTATACCCAATTGTTTATTTTACAACTTTTTAATACTAGCGATTTTTTATGTGTGCGTCCATTACATTTTTTTTCGGTGTCTTTGGGGAACCCATAAAAAATAGTTAACATCCTATAGTTGCGGCGGATTTTAAACTAAACCTATGTGTCTTAAATAAAGGTGTTTATCTTTTTCATAAAACCCACTTTTATTGAAAATATACTAATTTCAATCGCTTACTTCTAATTTTATAAATTCTTACCTAAAACTTAACCTACGACATCCTAGACACCTACAAATACATAAGTAATATCTATATAATTTCTGTCTATTCAAATAAGTTTCTCTGCATACAAATCTCTTCGACTTCATACGAGAGTGCTGAGTATTCTTGGTAACTCAATTTTAAACATCTACGCAATTTATAAATTTATTTAAAGAACTTATAAAAGTCCAAATACGTAAAGCTAATCGCTAGTTTATTAAGTTGGAGGTATTCATTAGGTTCATTAGAACTTTGGTATTAATGTTCGTACAATAAATGTCTCTACAAATGCATACATGTGTGGGTACATAGTGTTTGCTTTGATCCTTAGTTCCGAACTTTCTGTCGACTTTCCAGATTGGCTAAGAAAAAGTGATAAAAAACATACAAAATTAATTAAATGTGCTTATACTATGATATTTGTTCATACATCGCACTACTTAAATTATGTGTTCATATCTATGTACATTAGACTGCATCACTCCCCATACAAAAAAAAAATCGGTACTGTTTTTCCATTGGAATAATAAAATCTATTATATTTTAAGACGTCCACCAAAATATTTCGGAAACATATTAAGATTTAAGCGAGCTGGACCGATTTGAAAATAGGTACCCCCAAAATCGGAGTTTTTTATGAATAAAAATAGTTTTAGATTTTTTTTTTAAAAAAAACCCCCTCAAAATCACAAAACGGTTTAAGCTTAAAAAAATTTACATAAAAAGATTTAAAAAAAATTTAAAAAAATATTTTGAGCGGAATCGTAATAATGAGATTTTTGACACAGTTTTTAAATTTTTTTCAAAGATTGGTATAAGAAAAACTTGAATAACTGAACCTAAACTATTCTGATTTAGACTTAAGAGGTGTCGGTGGAAAGGTATTTTCTCACCCTTTTTATTTCTTTGCTAATTAACTCATTCAAAGGATGAAAGAGAAAGGTAGGATGAAAAAGCGTCATTCCAAGTTGAATTAAGAATTGGTATTTGAAAAAAAGGGACACAAATAAAAATAGTGGGAAAATACCTTTCTACCGAGATGCCATAAGTCCAAATCAGAATAGTTTTGGCCCAGTAAGGTTTTCGTAAATCAATCTTTGGGAAAAAAACAGCATCAAAAATCTCATTATTACGATTCCGTTAAAAAGATTTTTAAATATTTTTACGCTGATTTCTTAAGCTTAATCTGTTTTGTCATCTGAGGAGGCTTTTTTCAAAAAGTTCTTTAAGAAACTATTTTCATTCTTGAAAACTCCATTTTGATGGACGTCTTAAAATATAATAAATTTTGTAATCCCGACGGTAAAACCGCAACTTTTTTTCGTGATGCAGTCTAATGTACATATATAAAACTTATAAGTAAGTATGTTCTTATCCTATCCGTTCAATAAGCATTTGTAATGACTTGGGGCATCTTAAATTGAGATGTTGTAGGCTATGCTCAAATGTTGTAGTTGTAATTTTTGGAGCTTCACGAAAACGCTTATTGCACGAGAACTAGTGAAGCGATTTCAAAGAGAGGTACGGCGTTTCAAAGACAAAATTCCAATCCTATCGACACATACATTTCTTTAAGTAAGTGTCCTAGGAACAACGGTAAATATTGGCTTATTTTGGGGTCAATATTGAGCATTTAAAGAGCTATAGCAACTTATGATTTGTACATACATATGTATTTCATTTTCGGTATATAGGTTCTCTGGAGCCATTGAAATACTTTACATAAATTCAACCAATATCGAGACAAAATAGGCAAAAAATTGTTGAAAAAATTTGCATATTTTTTTTTTTAGTTACCAAAATTGCCGAAACCCGCTCGAATGATTTTGTTTTTGTTTTCCTTAATCAAAAATTCAAGGCTTTTCCTTTCGCTTGATATATGGGAAGTTTTGGTTGATATCTTCTAAGTATGTTTATTTTATTCAAATATATGGGCACAAATGATTTTCCATACAAAATCACTTCGTCATCATTTAGGAAACACGTGCTTCCGCTGGAAGTGAGAGGAGGAGACAAAAAGTATGTGTGTGTAGGTATTTCGGCTTTTGAGTAACAGATGGCGCAATATTTACAACCTAATCTCCTATGTATGTAAATACATACATAAATATGTACATATTTTGATTTAAGTTTGTGGATGTATTTTTCTTTTAGTAGATAATCTAGGTATGTATGTACGTACATATGTATATCTGTGTTCGTATGGAACAGTAGCTTATGTCGAAAGGCTGGCTTTAGTATAATGCGGCATTCCCAGCACACGATTGCGAATGGCTCACTGGCGCCGAGCCGTTGATAAACTTTTGGCAAATAAACGTGCATAAATATTTCCGATACTAGCAAGTCAATATTCTTATTAAGTCTAATCAAAAAATTTTTTGTCGTTTAAAGAATGAAGGGAATGCCGCATTATACTAAAGCCAGCTTGCCGACATAAGCTACTATTCCATACGAACACAGATATATGAACGCATAATACGCGAAAACTTTTTCGTCATACCAGATCTGTACCGTTCGTTCGATTTTATAAAATGTGGTATGAAATTAAAGGGCTTGGCCTGTGGACTTCTTATTTTCTTTTTTAAAGAGTTGCCACCTGATAAAAAGAATGAAATTCAAATTATTTTTAAGTTAAATCAATTATTACACTATGAGTTTCGATCGAAATGGTTTTGAAAGGGCTTTATTTCTTAACTGTTTGTAGGAGGGTTGCCACCTGCTTCAAAAAGCAAATTAGGCTTAAATAAAGGCAGAAAACTGATATGTATGTCCTGATATGGATGTCAGACGAAAGAGGTTATGGTTTGAAAATATTTTGCAGAGGGTTGCCACCCTGTTACAAAGTTAGATTCAACATAAGCAATAGGTTAAATAAATTACTTCAATTTGAATATAAATCAAAATTGTTTTGAAGAAACTTTATTTTCAAAGTACATGTAGGAGCGTTGCCACCTGATTTTATAATTAAATTGAAATTGAATTAAGAGGATTAGATAATTTAAATATGTATCACAATACAAGTGCCATACGAAAAAGGTTTAACGAGGTTTTGGTTTAAAAATAATTTGAACAGGATTGCCATTAGTTAGTTAAATTAAATTATACGAAATATTGAAATATTGGCGTCAAAGAAAGGGCAAATAAGAAAAATTTAGTTTCAGCCCGTACTATAATTTATAGTATTGTACTATTTTTCCGGTCGGCGTACCATATACTGTTGGAAAAATATAGTACAGAAAAATACTATATTTCTTCAATTATAAATATGAGTATGTTTAAGTAATTTGCACGTAAAAATGTGTATTAAAATGGATGGCCTTTATACTGAAATAACGATATTAAATGAAATATTCTTTAAAGTAAAAGGTAATTGCGAGTTTATAATCAAAAAAAGAAAACATAACTGTGAAAGAATTAACAAATTTACTTAAAACTATTTTATTTCTACTCTCTATTCCAACAACTTCGGCATTCACAGGAAACAATTTTCCATCACTTAAAAATCGCGTTTACTTTTTCTTTTAAATAAAATACTATATATATTTGAAGTATACTATATTTTTTCTAATTTTTTGAAAAAGTGCTATAAATATATTAGAAAATGTTGACAACCCTAGTTTCTACCTGTGTAAAAGGTTAAACTCAAATTATTTAATAAGTCAAATAAATTATTAAAGTATGGGTACGAATTGACATTCGTTAAAAAGTTTTTTTTTCTTAATTTTTTTTAAGAGGGTTGCCATATGTTTTAGAAATTAAATTCAACTTGAATTAAAGGAACTATATATACAATTTAAATATGTATCGCAATATGTGTGTCAGTTGAAAAGGCACAAGTTGAAAGGACAAGGATTTGGTTTTAAAATATTTTGAATAGGGTTGCCACCTGTTTTAAAGTTAGAATTAAATTAAATTAAATATTAAAACATGACGTGAAAAGAAGGTGGTAAGATATCCTTAGTTTAAATAATAATAATATTAAAGAGGGTTGCCACCTGTTTAAAAAGGTAAACTCAAATAATTAAAGAGTGAAAGCAGTTATTAACAATATGGGTATCAAATCAAAAAAGGTTTAAAAAGGCTTTATTTCTGAACTGTATTAAGGAACGTTGTCAAGTATTTAAAAAATAAAGTTTAACTTAATTCATCATCAGGCACATGAAATATGTAGGTATCACAATAACAGACGCAAGCTGATGTTACATTTGATTTAAGTTGATGTGGATGTGCAGGAGGAAATCGCAATGTTCGAACCATTTGATAAAACACATAAAAATATTGAATACAATTTTTTCATTAACTTACTCAGTTCCATGGTCGATGCACTAGATTTGGTTGTTCGCCTATTTGATGACTGCATAATGCTATCCGATTTAAAGACTCTAAAACCAAAGCAAGTAATGTATGTAAATAGCATAGTTTTTATATTGGTCATCGCGGAATCAAGCGGATTAGATTGAAGAACGTATGTATGTATGTATGTATGCAAATCGTCGTTATCAATGTATGTATATAATTGACTTTTTTTTGGAAATATGTATGAGCTTTTCGCATTGATGGTGACGATATGAATGTTAAAGTAGTACCAAACATGCTGTAGTTTCTAAAATGTATATCAAATAAACACAAACACCTATGTATGCAAAATAGTATTTTCCTAAACATTTCATGCGATTGCAACCCACTTCAAACAAGAAAAGTAAAATTAGTGTGCTTTAAGGGAATAAATGTGCAGCAAGCCTAGATCCATTCGACCGTAAAAAACCGTTAGTAACACCATAACCAAATACGAAAACCGAAATCCTTTGTTTTTTTACCTATTCATTTACTCATTTCAATATCGAGGGAATTCCATTTGTGACAGTTTGCAGCGCTACGTCCTCTTCAGAGCACCGCGAATCAGCTGAGTCTGTGGTATCAGACCCCTCAATGCATAAAATTCTTCGCGAATTATTAAGTTTTTATTTCAAATATTGCCAATTTAGAAATAATTAGTAATAAATATTTTAGAAATTTACCTCTTCTTTATGAGTAGTAGCACCTTCTTCTTCATAACCAACAGCACAAATAAAATCAAACCCTGGGAAGCGTTGTAAATGTCGGCGAATGCGAAAAAAATGGCGTACTCACTCTTACTGCCAACAATATAGCCCAGCACTTCCAGTAACCAACCGATTCCCATAACAATGAACAATCGAAAGAAGAGCCATAAACTAAAGTATTTCATTAAATTGGTTCTTCCATGGTTGGTGAGCATACAAATACTCACATGAGGCACACGTTTCATTAAAGAAGAACTTACTCATTTTTTTGGGAACGCAAATGTCGCCTGCTGTCTTCGCCCTGAGAGAACATTTTCAATTCCTTTCGTATGGTGTAGATCCGCTCAGCGGTTAGGTAAAATATAACCATGTTGAAAACAATAAGCACTAGGCAGGGTCCGTAGAAATAAATCATGGCTGACCAGTCGTCAACTTCACGCGGAATTAGAGACTCAAAAGTTATGTGCGACTGTATGAATGTTTTTATTTACACGCGAACGTACCTTTCAACCAACAATGGGAATATCCTATACCGGACTTGAGTTTATTTGGCAAATCGGAGTACTGCAAAGCTATAGTCAAAACGGTCATCAGAGCCGGCAGACCCCAAGCGTAGAGAGCGTAGTAGAAGAATCGTTTTCTCTGAGTCAAATGCTGAACATTTCCTTTGGTGCCGCGAAAATTGTGCCAAAGATCAAAACAGATGACATTAAGCCAGAAAAATACCGCCGTGAGGAAATAGTACGTCACAAATCCTGTCGAAATATATAAAGAAAATGCGTTCACCAATTTGCTTATTTTCTAAATCTTAAAGCCTATAAAATGAAATTTACCAATAATGGCGCAAAGCAAGTTGTCGTAATCCGATTTTTGGATGTTTGTCACTACAATCATCGTGGTGCCAATAGCTAACGACAGTAGATAGCAAATTAAACATTTGGTGTGCAAGTTCCACAACTCCGGGATGAGCCAGTAGATCAGAATGGTCGCATATAAGAATGGAGCAGAAATCATCAGAACTGCGAAGAATAAAGAAATTCTCGTTCATAAGTATTTGATTTGCAAAGATTGCAAGTACACTTGCACCCACTTATCGTGTTGAGCATGAGTGTTGGAGGCTCCTCATAGGTAATTGGACAATTCATTGGATTCAGCATATATTTTCCATCTTCCGCCTCATATGCTTGCAGGCAATAGTCCCGTCTTGAAAGGAGCACCTGATCACTTGTGCGTAGCAGTGTGCCATTCTGTAAGACACGAACGAGTATATATATGTACATTTGTATGTATGGCTCCTTAACCCTCTAACCGGTAAGAGTGCCTCAAGGCAAGGATCACAAAAATCACCTTTTGCATATGAAAATGTAATTTTTCATTACGCAAGTGAGTTCAACGCTCTTGATCATATGTTTGCTGACATTTCTTTCTCAAATTAGAATGTAATCCGACAGGCCGTTAGTCCTCTGTAATCCGTTTTTTGCGAACAGGTGGAGGAGATCGTGTTTTCGTATTAAAAAATTTCTGATTTTCAGCATCGAAAATTTTTATTGTGGAGAAGTTCTTTTAACTCAAGAATTTTATTCCCGTAAAGTTTTAGTCATAAGCTTCACGATTTTATGTCTACGGTGTTGAAAATAGTTGGATTTTATGTTCTATAGCAAAAAATCTAAGTGTGCCTCAAGGCACTCTTGTCGTTCGGCG